AAGTGAGCTTAGTGCTTGGAAAAAATCTTTCATTCCTTTAGAGACAGCATGAAAAGTCAGCTGAGTACAAAACATAGAGAGGAAAACAAGAATGGGTCTGTTTTATGGGTTGTCTTCTGAATTCAAAGGGCCCCCTGCCTGTCTTTGCCTAGGGCCCCAAATTTCCTAAATTCGCCCCTGGATCCATCTTTGATTCTGGTTTAGAGCAACTGCATGGAGTTCCTCAGGGTTCTATGGCCGTCCCATTATGTTTCCAGGGAACATAATATTAATTTCCTACGTTTCTTTAGAGATGAATTTAAACCACACCACTAGTTTCACTCTATCATAATCTATTTCTACATGCAGTTCCAATTTTCCTTATCTGCTTTTCTTCACACTCTGACGGGAGACTGGAAACAGGGATATAAGTTTTGTGTCTAAAGATGATCAGAATCCTGTTTTTAAAGAGATCCGCTGGTGAATCATAACACAAACAGTGTGAGGAGGCGGCAGGAGTGGAGTTACTCACTGAGGACGATGTGCGTGATGACGAAGGCGAAGATAAAGATGGTGAGGAAGGAGAGGGAGAGGATGAAGAGGTAGAAGAAGCGGTAGTTCCTGCGGCCGACGCAGTTCCCCACCCAGGGACAGTGATGGTCGAAACGCTCTGCGGGAGTAAAAAAATAACTAAGGAAAACATAAAGAAGCTGGAAATAAACATCAAGCTTTGCTGGTTTCCTGTAAAATATCTGGAAAACTGGGTTTTTCAAAAACAAACCCCCACTGACCAACGCAGTTATCGCAGAGGCTGCAGTGCGACGCTCGAGGCGGCCGGAAGATTTTGCAGGTGAAGCAGTACTTGAGTTTGACCGTCTGTCCGTTGATGAGCACCTCTCTGGTGCGAGGCGGAGGCTTCGAGCATCCCGTCTGGTCTGCAAACCCACAACATGCAAGAAATGAGGGAGGAGGTCACATCTGCTGAGCTTTAAGAGGAACCGTAAGAAAACAGAAACAACTGGAAACTTCTATGAGGTTCAGGTGAGCTAGTTTATCTGACATCAGGACGACTTTCTGGAGAAAATGACACAAATAAGAGATGAAACCACAGAGGCTGCGTTTCCTCCACCTCTGACAGCCTCAACATCCGCCATGTCTGGATGTGAGCGTCTCTGAGGCTGGTGCTGATTGACAGCTCCGTCTGCCAGCATCCGACGCAAACATCAAGAAATGAGGAGAAACGATAACAGGCTTCCAGAAATAGAGCAGAAAGCTGGGATGGTGACGTTCAGTTTCTGTGGAAACGTTTCTCAGAGAGAGGAGGCCACATGTGACTCAGCTCTTCATCAGCGAGAGGAAGAGGAGGAGGAGAAGCAGCAAAAAGTCCAAACAGACTTTCCTGGAAAACTATCAATCAACACTCGTTCATAAAGTCTAAAGTTTTGGAGTTCTCAATTAAGACTTTCAGACAAAACCCACAAAGATTTGGGAAATATCGCCATCGCCATGGTTACCGATCTGCCTCTCCAGGTCCGCGGCCTCGTCCGGCGTCGCTCTGGGCAGGACGCCCGGGTCACTGAAGCTCGCCCTGAACAGCATCCCCATCACAAAGATGAAAAGGACGGCGCCGGCCGCCGGAATGACTGGACTCAGGTGGGACGCCAAATACGGACAGCTGAGGAAACAGAGAAACGGGCTGAGGAAACAAAAACACGCACTAAGGAAACAGAAACAGCCTGAGGAAACAGAAATGGGCTGAGGAAACAGAAATGGGCTGAGGAAACAGTGAAACGGGCTGAGGAAACAGTGAAACGGGCTGAGGAAACAGTGAAAGGGGCTGAGGAAACAGTGAAACGGGCTGAGG